TACTCACTTGCTTCGAGTTCAATCCCACTCGAACCGTGGTTTGTTTAATAATCAAACCTGTAATTCCTTATCAATTAAAGCCACATAGCATGAACTAATATGATATTCAATTCTCTTGCATTCACTGTAACTCCTAAATTTATACTTACACTCACCCAAGTGACTGTATAAAATTACTCATATTATTATTGTCTTATTAATCTTAAGTTAGTCTTAAGTTTGCCCGAAATACACGGTAACTCATCTAATGACCATATGACCTGTTTCTGCACTACATATCATTGATTTTCTTTGATTTGATTGGATTAATAAATTGTATGACTTCATATAGTATATTGATCATTTTGTTATATTATACATTGTAATGCTACAAATTTGTACAACTAGAATGCTTCTTAATTGAAATGTTCAAATTTCATTGTTTTAAATACTCATTTGTACTTTATGTTGTAATTTGTTTACTGTAATTTTTACCACTGAATATATCATTGCTTAGTTAATAATCTTAAAGTTAATTTTAAGCCTGCCGCATAATGCTGCTGCATACGCAAGGGCTTTTGCGCGATGATACACCCAACTATTACTATAATTCCCCTTGTACAACTATGTATCATGTCCAAATAAAATTATCTATTATTATTATTATTATTATTATTATTATTATTATTTTTTTTTTTTTTTATCTTTTTTTTTTCAACAAGTCGGTCGTCTCCACCGAGGCAGGTCCCAAAAAAGAAAGAAAATCCCCAAAAAAGAAAAATACTATTCATCATCATTCACACTTTCATCCACACTCACACTTTATCACTGCTTTGGGCAGAGAGTGCTCAGAATACAAAGTTTAGGAAGCAAATACTTTATAAAGATACACAACATATCCCTCCAAACTACAATAATCATTATTATTATTATTAATATATTATTATTATTATTCATAAGCTCTGCATATTTTTGGGGCATTCTGCATGTACACCCAAACATCATTCACTTTTGTACAATTATTGTATCATACCGAAATAAAGTATTATATTATTATTTACCATACCAACCATTTTTCCTCCGGTAGGAGGGTGCTTATCATTGGGTTTTTTCACTTGGAAATTGAAACTAAGAATTACTGGTATGCTGAAGGTAAGGTGACCCAAAAAGGAAACACTTTCACCATCATTCATTCCATCACTGTCTTGCCAGAGGCATGCTGATACTACAGCTCAGATGTTCCTCCAAACTACAAATATCTCCACCCCTCCTTCAGAGTGCCGGACTGTACTTTCCACTCAAGTCTGGCTAACTGGTTTCCCCGAATTCCTTCACAATATGTTACCTTGCTCACACTCCAACAGCTTGTCAAGCCCCAAAAACCATTTGCCTACACTCCTATCTAATACATACATGCCGATGGATGTCCATACATAATATATATAAATAATATATAATTATATATATATATATATATATATATATATATATATATATATATATATTTTTTTTTATTATATTTTCTTTTTTCAAAAAACAAAAAAAAAAAAAAAAAAAAAAAAAAAAAAAAAAAGAAAAAAAAAACAAAAAAAAAACATATATATATAATATATATATATATAAATATAAAAAATATATATTTATATATATATATATATTTTTATTATCACACTGGCCGATTCCCACCAAGCAGGGTGGCCCTAAAAGAAAAACATTCACCATCATTCACCACCAATCACAGTCTTGCAGAAGGGTGCTTTACACTACAGTTTTTAAACTGCAACATAAACACACCTCCTTCAGAGTGCAGGCAACAGTACTTCCCATCCTCCCCAGGACTCAAGTCCGGGCATGCCGGTTTCTTCCCTGAACCCCTTCTATAAATGTTACTTCTGCTCACACTCCAACAGCACGTCAAGTATTTAAAACCATTTGTCTCCATACACTCCTATCAAACACGCTCATGCATGCCTGCTGGAAGTCCAAGCCCCTCGCCACAAAACCTCCTTTAAACCCCCCCCTCTCAACCTTTCCTAGCCGACGATCTCCAACCCTACCCCCGCCTCCTTCCCACTACAGACTGATACACTCTTGACTCATCTGTTTTCGCGTCCATTCTCCCTACATGATCCGAACCAAACACCTCGCGACAACCCTTCCTCTCAGCCCTCTGTACAAACAGTTTTGTAATCCTGCAACCTCCACCACAACTTCATCAAACTACTAATACTCTTGCATTATATTCACAACCACACATTGCACTCAGGACATGACCATCTCCACTTCCTCCAGCCATCCTCTCCTCGCTGACAGATACAGTCCACCATGCTTCACAACCCATATAAGAGCATTGGTAAAACTATCTCTCGTCTACTATATAAGACATCCCCTTCTTATTTGCCTCCAAGGACGAATGCGTTACATTGTCTCCACATACCCATCTAAATCACCACTCACCCTTTCCTCTCATCAATTCTATGATTCACCATCATCTTTCAAGACCATCCGCTGACACGTCCACATCCCAAATACGTACAGACAATACATTTCACCTCCTCCATAAACTCTTCCTCCAGTATCTGATATCCAATCTTCTTCATCACCTAAATCTTTTTTAATACCACATAACCTTACTCATATCTGTATTACACTTTTAATTTTTTCTTCTTTGATACACCCTACCAAATTCTCCACCAATCTCTGGCAACTTTTCTTTCAGAATCTCCCAAGAGCACAGTGTCCATCAGCAAAGAGCAACTGTGACAACTCCCACTTTATGTTGATTCATTATATTTTAACTCCACGCCACTTGCCAAAGGGGGATATGTGTTGGAATGGTTGGTAACTTTTGTTTAATAAATGTATAAAGAGGGTAAGGTAACCTACGGGATTGGCAGAGAGCAAAGTATAGTCCTTATATAACGGGAAAGGGGACAAAAGAGATGGTAAAAATTAAAGAGGAATAAGATTTTATTGAGTATTCCAGAAAAGTGTATGGTAGGTTATAATTGAAAGAATTAAGGTAAACATAATGTAAGATTGTGGAGAGCAAAGGAGGTTTCAGAGTGGGTAGGGATGTGTAGATCAAGTGTTTACATTGAAGCATATATGAGAACAGTAATTTAGATAAAGGTAGGGAAGTTTGTATTGCATTATGGATTTAGAAAGGCATAAGAGTGGATAGGGGAGCATGTGTGCAGATGTTTGCAAGTATATGGAATAGGTGTAAGTTTACTAAATGCTGTAAAGAGTTTTTATGAGGATAGTGAGGCACAGGTTAGCGGTGTGCAGAAGAGAGAGAGACTTACTTCCCGTAAAAGTAGGTCTTAGACATGGTTGTTTTTAATATAATTTATAGATTGGTGTTTTTAAAAGAAGTAAATGTCTAGGGTGTTCGGTGAGACAGGGGTGTGGATTATAATTATGGGGAATCAATCAAAATGGGAATTGACACAGCGTTTACTTTTATGCTGATGATACTGTGCTTATTTGAGATTCTAAAAGAAAAATTGCAAGGTTTAGTGGATGATTTGGGGATGTTGTGTAAAATATAGAAAGTTGACAGTGAACATAGAAAAGAGTAAGGTGATTGAGTGTCAAATGATTTAGATAAAAAAAATTTGGAATCAAATTGGGGAGGAGGATATGAAGAAGTGAGATGTTTCAGATACTGGAGTTGACGTGTCGGGCGGATGATTTATGAAGGATTGAGGTTAATCATAGAATTGATGAGGGGAAAAACAGGTGAGGGTGCGTATGAGAATAATGTGGAGTCAATAAAAAGTTATCTATGAGGCAAAGAAGGGAATGTATGAAAGTATATAGACCAACACTCCTTATATGGTGTGAAGCTTGTTGGTAAATGCAGCAGCGAGGAGACCGGTTGGAGGCAGCGGAGATGACCTTTTAAGGGCAATGTGTGGTGGTAAAATATTATGCAGAAAATACGGGAGTGTGGAATTAGGAAAGGTGTGGAGTTTAATAAAAGTTAGTCAGAGTGCAGAAGATGGTTTGTTGAGGTGTTTGGTCATTTAGAGAGGAATGGATCACAGTAGTAATGACATGAAAGCATATACATATCTATATGGGAAGGCAAGGCGGTAGGCGGTCGTCCCGAAAGGGATGAGAGAGGGGGTAAATGAGGTTATGTGGGTAAGGGGCTCTTGGACATCCAGCAAGCGTGCTGAGCGTGTTAGATAGGAGTGAATGGAGACGAATGGTACTTGTGACCCTGACGATCCTGTTTGGATTGTGAGCAGGGTAATATTTAGTGAAGGTATTCAGGGAAACCGGTTATTTTCATATAGTCGGACTTGAGTCCTGGAAATGGAAGTAAATGCCTGCACTTTAAAGGAGGGGTTTGGGATATTGGCAGTTTGAGGGATATGTTGTGTATCTTTAATATGTTTACTCTAGACTGTTGTAGTCTGAGCACCTCTGCAAAAACAGTGATAATTGTGCGAGTGTGGTGGAAAGTGTATGAATGAATGATGAACGTATTTTCTTTTTGGGATTTTCTTTCATTTTTGGCGTCAACCCTGCCTCGGTGGGAGACGCCGACTTGTTTGAAAAAAAAAAAAAAAAAAAAAAAAAAAAATATATCTATTATATATATAATATTTAAATATGTATATACATATACATGTAATATTACATGCATACATAAGTGATGAGCCACAGAATTGGTATCTAGCAACAATTTGGTAACTGTACCTTCCATAATACCTAACGTACATTCATACTGCCTATACGTACACATAAACATGCCTGAAAAATTTCAGCGAACGTCTAAAACCATTTATGTCCCATAAAAATAGTAATAATTCTGGATAACTGATCACACTAATATAACAAGAATATGTAAGGAGCAATCACAGTACAGCCTCTTCCTCCTCCATTAGCGATATACTCATTTACTGACGACTCAGACTTAATGACTGGCTCTCTCTTGACCAGTATGCGCTACCTAAATAATGTACTATTACAAAAAAAAAGGCCTGAAAATTTACCTCCTATTCTGTTTATTATAATATACAGGACACTACTGTATAAACATTTATAAATATACTAGAAATATTATAAATGGTGCAAAGGTGACACTAAAACAATATCAAAGATGGTTGACACAAACCCATTACCATTATAGTACGCTTCTCAGTAACAAATTCGTTTACCGACGTGGTCTTAGGAACGGAACTCCATCGTTAAGTGAGGAGAGGCTGCATATATTTACAAAAATTACAGTAAATATAAAACATTATTAATGTAATTTTGCATAATTTAACAAGTAACTGTTACTTTTAAATCACATGTTATTTGAAGGAGTGTAAGCAGTAACATCCAAGGATGTAGAAGTGAAGGCAAGTTCAAACAACAAAAGTACGTATATTGAACATTTGCTGTTAATTCAAATGGAACATTAATTGTTCAATTCAAGCCATAAACGTCTTAAATGACTAGCATAAGCTATGACCTCCTGTGAAAAAGTCCATTCAGAATGCTGCTTAAAATGATTTAAAACATCCACGTAAACATTATCATTGTTTGCAAGGTCATCTTCTGTCCTTGGAATGATGTGAGCGTGTACGTGCAAATTCTGTAAAGAAAATCTATAGTAATTAAATTTTTTTAATATAAATTTAAAATATAAATACTCCACACATATACTGCACAAATAATTTCTACTATACAGTATTATTATTAAATGAAGTGTTAACTATTTATAAAATATCACAGCCCCAGGCTAGTGAATGTCTGAGTTGAAACTAGGTATTTTTTTAAAAAAGAAAAATGTCAGTGGCTGAATGAAATGCAAGAGAGCAAATGATACACTTAAGTATTTTAGAATAATTTAAATGAATACCCTGGTTTCCCATAATTTCATAATTCATTATTCTACAGTAGTATAAATAACTTTCCTTCATTGTATTGTATACAGATATGAAAGACTAATAAAATACTAATTTTTTGCTAAATTACTATTTTTACATGTATGGGAGAGTACTAAACCCATGAGGTTATATGGTCTGGGAAAATGGGAGGCAATTAGAGCTGATCCAAGAAGAGGGAGGATAGGTCCAATTTCTTGAATCAACAGACCCTCACCAGCATCCAGGCACCTTCCTTGAGAGCAGATAAATTTAATTATTGTATAAGAGAGGTGTTCCTTTAGGCTACAAACAAAGAGTATAGAATCCAGGTTTTTTTTTTTATGACATCTATTTTCTGTATCCAGTTCAGAATTTTACAATGATGCTAGTTTTAATATGGTCACTCCTGGAGTTTACCTGGAGAGAGTTCCGGGGGTCAACGCCCCTGCGGCCCGGTCTGTGACCAGTCAGAGATTTTGTTCATCAGGTATATTTTATGAGTTTCCTTTTGTTAATGGAGTCTCTCGGACTTAAGAGACTGGTTTTAATTATTTCAACCAGCAGTTCCTTATGTTTATACCTTCCTCAGAGCTGGCTGGTCTGCTGCCTGTTGTCCAAGAAGTGAAAGCATTGCTTAGATTCACTTGCCTTTCTTTTATCCACCAATCAGTATGTGGAGTCAGGTAATGAGTAAGATTAGCTTATCAGTGACTAATAATCTCAGTGCAGAATTCACAAAGTTTCTTTCACATTATAGCCAATCCAAACCACAGATCTGTTAAACCTAAACTGGTGTTATGGATTCAGATGTTCCGAGGCTGCATAGATACCATCTTGCAGAACTACTTTCATTTTTGTCCATCACTTCTAAATTGTGTTAGAAAAGCATACTTAACATAAAATGTCCTGTATATGAAACATTTTTGGAATAAAAATATATTAAAATGACAGTAAACAAACCTGATCCTGAATTAAGTCTGCATCTTCTAAGAGGATAATGGTAGATGACTCAGCCTTGTGGCTGGTTTCCACGAGGCGCTCAGCTGACTGCATTACAATGAAAAAGTCTGTGACCTGTTCAGCACTTGCCTTTCTATAGCCTGCACAAGGCTTAAGGAAGGTTACATAGATATCTTACAAAATGTTAAGGATGATGACATAATAGAGCAACATACAAAAATAATCAAAATGGTGATTTACAAAAACAAAAACAAATACATGTATAAACCAAAAAGTCATATAAAATATTATTAGAACAGATAATTCCTGACAAATATGTAATTCATTAAAACTTAATTCATTAAAAAAGTGCTGGAAGACTAGCCAAATACTGTAGGTCTTCTGAGTAACAACTGAAATCTTGGTAAGTTATGAAAAATATGATCTTAATGTTAGAAATATAAATAATAGTCTCAGGTTTCATTTTTTTTTTTAATACATCGGCCATTTCCCACCAAGGCAGGGTGGCCCAAAAAGAAAGAAAAACCAACTTTCACCATCACTCATACATAATCACTGTCTTTGCAGAGGTGCCCAGATATGACAGCTTAGATGTCCCTCCAACCTGCCAATATCCCAAACTCATCCTTTAAAGTACAGGCATTGTACTTCCCATTTCCAGGACTCAAGTCTGGCTAACTGGTTTCCCTGAATCTCTTCACAAAATATTACCCTGCTCACACTCCAACAGCTCGTCAGGTCCCAAAAACCATTCGTCTCCATTCGCTCCTATATAACACAGTCACGCATGCTTGCTGGAAGTCCAAGCCCCTCACCCACAAAAACCTCCTTTACCCCACCTCCAACATTTTTGGGGCCAACCCCTACCCCGCCTTCCTTCCCCTACTGATTTATACACTCTCCAAGTCATTCTACTTTGTTCCATTCTCTCTAAATGACCAAACCATCTCAACAGCCCCTCTTCAGCCCTCTGACTAATACTTTTAATAACCCCACACCTCCTCCTAATTTCCACACTATGAATTCTCTGCATAATATTTACATCACACATTGCCCTTAGACAGGACATCTCCACTGCCTCTAGCCGTCTCTTCGCTGCAGCACTTACAACCCAAGCTTCACACCCATATAAGAGTGTTGGTACTGCTATACTCTCGTACATTCCCATCTTTGCCTCCATGGATAATGTTCTTTGTCTCCACAGATACCCCAACACACCACTCAGGTTTCATATCTAAAACAATATGTAAAATGTGAAAATGCAATGTACATTGTACAACTAGAAACTGTATATGAAGGTAATACTTTATTTAGAATATACAAGAGGATACGTCCTGGCAAAACAGGAGAGGGTGCCACAAACACGTAAGTATGTTTTGTTTTAACAATCACACAACTGTTTGGAACTTGTACTGAACCAAACTGAAAGTTTTCAAGACACTCAGGCTCAGGAATCTCCACACATGTGTTACTGAAAATAAAGTCTATTAGTAAGTAAAATAATACACTTCACAGAAGTTTTTATGTACAAATAAAAGTAAACAGCATAGAGTTATATTTTTCTTTAAAGATATCAAAAATAACTCATGTCAAGAATTATTTTCAATCAATCAAGTTTATTCTCTATAAGGATTACAATGCAGGGTTTACAGATTTTGGATATTGTGTGGTTTACATGTTTTAAAATACTAATTACAGAGGGGGCCACTAGGACACCTAGCATGGCCAGGCATTTCGGGCAGACTTAGATTAATTCTAAACTTTAAATTATTACAGATTATGGTATTAAGGCTAAGTGACTACAGTATAGTTTGTAAGTTTAGCAATGTGAATGCTTTTGTTTTGGCACAATACATAGTGTCTATATTGGAGTATCATAGGCAAGCTTATGACTAGTTAGGGTTCATTATTTTAAGATTAAGATTCGTATTTCTGCGTTTATAGTCGATGGGTGATACACCCCGTCAACTAACATGTAGTTAGTTGACGGGGTGTATCAGGGAGATAAGATGTTTTCTAACTGTAGTTTTGAAAGTGATGAATGTGTCTGCAGTTCTAGAGTTCTCAGGTAGGGTGTTCCAGATTTTAGGCCCTTTGACACACATTGAATTTTTGTAAAGGTTTAGTCGGACACGGGGAATGTCATAGAGATGTTTGTGTCTGGTGTTATGCCTGTGGGTCCTGTCACAAGTATCAAGAAAGCATTTTAGGTCAAGGTTAATATTGGAATTTAAGGTCCTGTAGATGTAGATTGCACAGTAGTAAGTGTGGATGTTCTGAACAGGGAGTAAGTTTAGATCTATGAAGAGTGGGGGGTGTGTTGCCAGGGATGGGATTTAGTGATTATTCTTACTGCGGCTTTTTGTTGGGTTATTATTGGCTTTAGATGTGTTGCCGAGTCAAAATAGCACCATTAAGTAAAGAAGAAATCCTTAATTATACAAATGATACTGCAACTATGGTTTTCTCTTTCCATTTGTATTCCATTCATAGAGTAATTAATTTTTTTAACATGTTCACCTACTATATTTGTATTTCTACTAAGTGCCCTAATAAAGCTTGAGAAAACAACCTCATATTTTTCTTGTTACAGTTAATTTTTCAATGATATAATTTAATGATTTTTTTTTATAACCAAGAAGCTACATATCCCTTTCTATATGCTTACCAAGGGATTCCAGGTTCAACATTATAGAAATTGGGAAGTATCTGTGTTGCCGATTGCCTAAGCTGGCTGGCTTCCTCCTGCATTTCATTTGTGTCTCTCCAATGCTCTGTGCCATCTTCCTCGTGTCCCTGTAGTTTCTGGTTCAAACTTGGGTTCAGTGGTACAATGTGAATGTGAATATGCTGAAAAAGGGAGAAAAAATTATAGTTACAATTTGAACTGAAATTTTCAGTCACTTTTTCTATACAAAGTATTAACTCTTCTAGTCATTAGTACCTTGTTAGTCTAAGAGCAGTTTTTCTATGATTTTGTAACTAACACGAATTTGCTGCAGCAACTGTAACCTAGCTAATTCTTCTTTCTGCCAATGTTATCAACGTTAGAACATTTGACTTGCAACCAAAATGTTCCAGAGCTAAATCCTAGGCAAGGAGAAATGTATGGGCCAGTCTCCTTACACTTGATGCTCTGGATCATCTAGCAGCAAATATCCAAGAGTTAGTCAACTGTTTTCATGTCTCACAAAATTGCAATAACATGATTGCAAACAAATCACATAACAGATAGACCTAGTTTTAGGACTGGCTTGCCACAGGTTCAACTGTGGTTGCATCCTGGGGCAAAAAACCTAAGCATCCCAATGGCAATAAGTCACACTGCTTTTTATGGCCATCAATTCAAAAAATACAACTACTACTACTTATTTACCTCTCTTCTCTCGTATCTCTCACCCCTGCTGTGTAGCTCCTGGAAAGCATTAAACCCATAAGGATTTAATGCTTTCTAGGAATATAATAATAAGGATAATAAAATTTTGTCAATGTTGAGTACTTTTCACAACTAATTATTTTCCTTCTAATAAAAAAAATGAATCAATTCAACTGGCAAAAAATAAAGCCTGCTCAGTAACATTAATGGTTTAAAAACTGGCCAGTTGAAGAATGAGACACTTGTGCAACATTTGGGAATCTTTATTGTGGAAGCATTTGGCCAGCCAGTGGCTTCATCAATCCATTCTTCCCTGTTATGGACTGAAGAAGCCTCTGGCTGGTGAAAGGTTTCCACAAAAAGATACCCGAATGTTGCATAAGTGTCTCATTCTTCAACATTTCTCAGCAAAGTTAAATTGTGCAATACTTCTACTTATTCAGAAATCATCTATCTATATACAGGGAGGCCCGTCTTTCATCATATTTTAGCTGACACTAAATAACCAAAACACTTGATCTAAATGCTGCATCCTTGACTTTTTGAATACTTTGCAGCATTGATTCATAGACATCACATGCTATGTTTCTAATTCTAATTTCTAATTGGTGCCATGGACTCGTCTAGACAAAGCCTTGCAAATTGGAAAAGAAATGTAACAGGAATAAGATATACTAATACACAGATAAGAAAACAAGCATACTGTATAATGAATATACGTAAAAGGGTGTAAGATTTACCTGCAATCTTAAGTGTTCATGAGAAAAAAAATGACTAGCAGTCCTGCTAGAATGTAAAACATTTAACAACTCCATGACAACAATCACTATCAACCTTTCCTTCCCTGTTTTGTTCTGTCACTGTATACATACATCAATGGTTTGCCCGGCTGCTGGACCATCTTGAATGGCAATCTGACAAGTCTTTTCTTGGTAACAGCACATAATGACTTCTAGAGCTTTCTGGGTGAGCTGAGCCAAGTCACTAAGCTCCGGGACCTGCAGTTGGTGAAACCTCTTGGCAGGTCTCTCGGGAGTCAGAAGAACATCTGATGGCTGAGTTAAGAATTGCAGAGAGTAAATAGAAATTTTCTTTTTTCAACATGTCAGCTGCTTCCCACCGAGGCAGGGTGACTCAAAAAGAAAGAAAAAACTTTCATCATCATTCAACATTTTCACCATCACTCATACGTAATTGCTGTCTATGTAGAGGCAATAGAAATATGTTTATATTATACATCTATAAAAATCCAACAAGATCCAATAACTGTATCCCCATTTTAAGCATAGTCCCTATATAAAAAAAACCTATTTCTAAAGTGATTCAGTAGAGCTATGGAACATAGCAAAAAAATATACAGAAAATTGAAAACACATCACTGATGAAGTGTTAAAAAGTGATTAAGTATAAAAGAAAATAGGGTGAATTAAGTGATTACATAACAGTAAAAGAAAGTGTAGAGTACAATAGTTGATCAAATACAGAAAGAGTATGACAGTATAGAGAAGTGGCAGAACAGCTTATGAATACTGAATACAACTAATGATATTAATTATATGCATATAAAAAGTTGTGGTATGAGGATGTTGCAGTCAGAGGTTAATCTGACTGATGTCAGCACATTTCTGGAAAAATGGCAAATGAACAAATGATGGTGACTGTGTTTTTGTCTTTGAGTCACCCTGCCTTAGCAAGAGACAGATAATGAGTTGAAAATAAGAGTTACTGTTAAACATGACAATAATATTCATATGCCATCTTCAACCATGTTCAATTAGACACAGGTAGGTGGATCCTCATGCTGTACTGGGAGACCGGCAAGCTTTATACATGTATTTCAAAAATGCAATTACTGTGTACTTTAAGACACTGAATGATCAAATGCTTTTTTTTTCTGAAAAACTTTAGCCTGCAACACAAATCATCAACAATTCGTAGGCATTTGGTATAAAAGAATACGTCCTGGAACTATCGGCCTTTTGTTGACAAATGCTTGAGAAAGCTGAGTCTTGAGAAAAACACACGACCCAGGAACTGATACCGTCCCAAACTGATAGCTGACGTATGAACTTGGAAATGGAAGCAGCTCACAAATTCTGTGGATAGCAATACATTTCAAACTAGCAAGAGATGTACCTCAATAGTTTATATGAGAAGTCTAACATGAATTCATGAAGGTAACTTATCAAACTAAATCAGAGGTCTCCAAGCTTTTCACAGGCCAAAGAAATAAATCAGTCTTATAAATAAATATAAATGAATGAATAAAATTTAAATGAATGAATAAGAGACTGAAGTGATTGAAAATGAGAGTTTATTAGTTGTACTAATGTTTATATTACTAGAGTTATTTGAATCTAGCTACATAAGTGGAAACTTAAATACACCATACCTTGGGTAGTCTGGAAACTGCATATCAAGAATGTGATACAAGTCTAGACGACGATGTGACAGTACCGGCATTTCTTGCCGAATATTTTGTAGATAATCAAGGTTTATGTCTGCCAGTGCAAAGTTAGTTCCTTCACTAACTTGGCAGACTACAGCTCCCCAGGGATCCACAACCTAAAACAAACAGTAAATTAAAACATGAATAAATTCCTGCTCACCTAACTATCTTCACTTTGTGTTACAAAATATAAATAATAATAATAATAATAATAATAATAATAACGGCAAGACAGCAACTGAATGAATGATGGTGAATGTGTTTTCTTCTTTGGGTCACCCTGCCTTAGTAGGAGACTCACTGAGATGCAAAAATAGTAATAGCAGTAATAATAATACCGTAATAATGTTAATAAATAAAAAAAATTTGCTCTAATAATTTCGTTGACACAAGATTGCAAATCAGTGCAATCAACATCAGATACTTTATGCAAAAATATACTGAATTAAAAAAAATTGAAAATGGTTCATGTCACATACCATGGCATGACCATATGAAGATCTTTTCTTGTTGTGCTGGCCAGTCTGGGCTGCTGCAATAACATAGCACTGTGTTTCTGCAAATTGAATATACAGGTATATATACAGTGTATATACAGCTTTATTTGCCAGATCTCTCAACTCATCAGGGTTTGCAATAGCTCCCAACCCCATGTGTCTTACTGTATTTACAATACACATAAATTTATGTATGAAGTTTGTCTCCTCATAGCATGTCATCCTCCCAGTGCATTACACTTTCTCATCATTCATTACACTTAAATCTTTCTTATATCACTTCAGATTACTTGAGTGTGAAATCTCCATTTATCAATATTACTGACACTAAAACATCTTCTGCACTGTTATTACTTATTGAAGGTGAGAGGGGTGAGTTTTATTATTACTGTTATAATTATATAGAAGCCCTAACTAAACCTGCAGGAATCATACAGAGCTTGGCATCAAGGCATGCTCTCTTGAAGGAGGAGTTAGCTCTAGCACATGGTCCTGGTGCTTAAACTTTCAAATGACTGATATCATTTCTGTTTCTCTAAGTACATAAGTTGCGACCATGTTCCTTCATAGGTCTTTGTTTCTTCATTGTTGCTGTAAGTCTGTTCCCACAATTCAGATTTTTCTTTTTATCATCTTTGTCCATCTTTGTCTTTATGCATATCTGTAGTCATATATGTCCATATCAGAGACCTTAGCAGTGATTGCTTATTTTAAGTAACAGGAGCATAGCTATGCTTTGGGTGTCCCAACTTCATTGTTGAATCTATTAATTTCTTTAAATTTCCAGTGGGACCTGTTGTAGCAACAACTACGTAACTGCAAATAGTTAATTTCAATATATTATACAATAAAAGAAATGGAAATTTTCACTTACTAACATAAAAGTGAAAACCAAATTATTTCAAAAGATTGTCTACATATTTAAACAATAAAGTGAACTACACTAAACTCATTTTCATAACCTGGTAACTATAAAAAAAGAAAAAAACTTACTATAATAACTTCTCAACTACTTTCAATTTCAATATAAGACATGAAATGTGCATGTAAAAATAAAATTACCTATTGCTCGAACTCGAAGAAGAGCCTCCCAGTGAGCTAGACCAGTTGTGACTGTAAAGGCTGATGGGAAGTCAAAATTTGTGCACCAAGTTTTCTCTGTATTAAACTCATTCTGGAAACCGCACATCATAGCACTAGTGAGGCAGTCAAGGGCTAAATCAAAGTATATTTGTACACTTGCAGCATATCTTTTTTTTTTTGCTCTATATATACATACATGTGTGTACATTAACATACTCACAACAGATTATTTTTTTTTTAAAGGATACAATGGAGAGAGCAACAGCTCCCACTGGGGTAGAGATAGGAGGAAGTATTGCTTTGCCAGGTGATACATAGGCTTTTTCCTCAAGGTGCAAGTTCCTCTCTGGAATATGCACACTGAACAGATGCGCCTTGCTGTAGGTCGATACAATCTTGCCTGTGTTATCTATCACTATATGTGTATTTCTTATTTTATCTTCTGTTTCCTGATGTTAAATGTGAATATAAAAAAATTTGTTAGTAGGAATATTATACAGATCACTACAAGAAATTAAAATCTAAATTATTTTAGAAATGACTAACAGACAAAGATAAAATTAGGAATATAAATTTAAAAGTAAGTACGTATATACAGTATACTACTCTATATACTGAACTGCATAAATAAAATATTTTAAGCTATAGCTAAATAACACTAAAAACTGCAGAATATAGTTTTATATGAAACAAATGCTAAGGATGTTCAGATGAATTTTTGGGATGACTGATATTGCTCAGACAAGGTGGAAAATGATACGAGATCAGTCATTACTACAGAATCACAGCATAATATCCTACCCTATATATTCAAACATTGCTAAGATGTGGTCTGACTAATTACAGGGTTGCAGTCAAGTCACCACTGGACAACTGAAGCAGCTACCTCACATTTTCCACAATATAGTCAGTCACTTTATCACTGAAATCTCTCAAAACTTTTCTCTCACGTGACTAAAAATTCCTTAAATATCACATAACACTTTTCAAAATCCCTCCCTCTAACCTCTCGGTACTTAAACACTGACTTTTACCCACCTCTCACGTTCCACTTTTACTAAAAAGTACAAAATTATTGAATTTAAACCTTTGTAATTCTTTATTTCACAACTGTTCATTCAACATTAGAGCCACTCTTCCTACACTCTTTCTCTCATAAATGCTAAATAAATAAAGATAAAGTTGTGTTACAAACAAATCATCATTCACAACAACGATATTTAGCAACATACAGGAGAAGCACTAATGCAACTTAAATTGGCAGTAACTGTATACAGTACATAATCTGATACATATACTATATAGCTTTAAACAGGCACACAAATATACATGTACTGTATTGTATTCACATCAAATGTAAAAGGTAAACTTAAAAATTACCAGTACCTTTATATGTAGTCCTCCCAGTGATAACCAAACTTGCACTTCTGCTGCCAACTTCTGATATTTAGACACCAGTGGTCCATTAATAGACTCTGCAAATTGAACTGATTCTTCCTTTGATTCAGCAATGTAGTCACAAGCCTCAGGAAGAAACACCATCTTTAAAGGAAATAAATACATTTAAATGATTTTAAACAACTTTATTACACAAAGAAAAACACAGCACCATACTGTACACCAGTAAATTTAATTATACATTTTATCACTGTTAAGCAATAAGAAATGAACCCCACAGCAATTTTTGAACATCCTCAGCCATTTTCCACCATGCCAAGATGATCCTAGGAAGAAAATACAATTATTGTATTATTATGACTCTCAGATTAGTTGCATTTCCATAAGGCACTTCTGAACCTTTAAAATTTAAGCCATGCTAGCTGGTTTGCCCCCCTTCTTTCCCCTCCCTCCAAGTTCCTGCACTGATATTCCATTTTTTTACAAAAAAACATCAGATTCCAGGGACCGCTTGTCTCCACTCCAATCTTCCATGCATACATCGTGTATGCCTAGAATATTAGATGTTCCATCTCCTACTTCCCGATACATTTCTCATATCTTTCTTCTAATATATCATTCTATAATCCTAGAGTGACAATTTGTAATTCCAATATTCATGATCTAATGTGGAATACAGCCTCTCCTCACTTAACAATGGAGTTCCATTCGTGAGACCACGTTGTTAAATGAATTTGTCGCTAAGTGAGGGGCATTCTATAATGGTAGTGAGTTTGTGTCAACCATCTTTGATATTGTTTTAATGCCACCTTTGCACCATTTATAACATTTCTGGTATATTTTTAAATGTTTATACAGTAGTGTGCTGTATACTGAAATAAAAAGAATAGAGGAAATCAGCTCTAATATACATTATTTAGGTATGAATACTGGTCAGAGAGCCTGTCGTAAGTCCTAGGCATTGGTAAACAAGTATATCACCAAGTGAGGAGAGACTCTACTGTAAATAGTAGTACAGTAGAACCCCGTATCCATGGATTTGCTATCCACGGTTTCAGTTATCCACAGTTTACTGTGGCCCAAAATAACCCTTAATTTTGCTTAATAATGACCCCAAAGTGCAAAAGCAGTGATGCTGGCAGTTCTTTAAAGCCTAAGAGAAGCCATGAAATGCTATCCATCAGTGAAAAAGTGCTAATTCTAGAGTTATTTTGCATAATTTATCAATTAAACTTTATCATAGGTATGTTTACCTGGAGAGAGTTCCGGGAGTCAACGCCCCTGCAGCCCAGTCTGTGACCAGGCCTCCTGGTGGATCAGAGCCTGATCAACCAGGCTGTTACTGCTGGCTGCACGCAAACCAACGTACGAGCCACAGCTCGGCTGGTCAGGAACCGACTTTAGGTGCTTGTCCAGTGCCAGCTTGAAGACTGCCAGGGGTCTGTTGGTAATCCCCCTTATGTATGCTGGGAGGCAGTTGAACAGTCTCGGGCCCCTGACACTTATTGTATGGTCTCTTAACGTGCTAGTGACACCCCTGCTTTTCATTGGGGGGATGTTGCATCGTCTGCCAAGTGTTTTGCTTTCGTAGTGAGTGATTTTCGTGTGCAAGTTTGGTACTAGTCCCTCTAGGATTTTCCAGGTGTATATAATCATGTATCTCTCCCGCCTGCGTTCCAGGGAATACAGGTTCCGGAACCTCAAGCGCTCCCAGTAATTGAGGTGTTTTATCTCCGTTATACGCGCCGTAAAAATGAAAAATAACTTATATATGGGGTTTGCTACTATTCACAGTTCCAGGTATCCACAGTAGGTCTCAGAACATATGCCCAGCAGATATGTGAGGACTACTGTATATAGAACTCACCTGAGCTCCTGATTCCACTGCTCTTCTCACTAAGTCAACACAGGTGATAAAATTTGCTTCTTTGTCTCGAGATGCAGTCATCTGTGTCACTGCCACCCTCTTTGGTCTAGTATCATCCTGCTTATTCCTGTAGAGATACCACAGAAATCTTATTTGCAAAAAAAAAAAAAAAAAAAAAAAAAAAAATTACTATTTATCTTATTAATTCAGCTTTCAGCTACAACTCTGCAACATAATTATATAACTTCCATAAACAGTTTAACATTCAAATACTGAATATCCTACATAAGAAGAAATTTTGTAAGTTATTAGGTAATTTTGTTAATTCCTATTTTATCGCAGGTGTATTTTTTTAACCCAACATGCACCCTGCTAGGTCAGCAGACCATCTCCTAACCTAGCCAGAGCCTATATATACATATGTAAAAGGAAATAAATAACTGGCTCTATTACTGAGCCAGTAAAATAAGGAATAATCAAGGCGTGTTGAAAATATATATACGTACAATATATGTAAGTGTGCAGGACAACCACTGTGAAAAAATAATGAACTTATAAGCACTACACCAGACTAAAAATGAGGTAAAAATTACGTTCATTGCTGGGCTGATGTACATAACACCTAGCACAGTGATTTTTAGCCTTTATTCAGTGATGTCACCCCTCAAGTCACACATTTTATTCTGTGGCACCCCCTAGCCATACAAGCGCGTAAAACACACATACGAAATATAAAATATTCAAGCCTGTTAGTGTAATACACAAGCAATATAAATCACAATAAAATATACAAAACAAATAGAAACTAACTTGGTATTATCTGAGAGTGGAATCTTTTTAACTTCTTTTTCTGCTTCATTCCCAAACATTGTTTTTACTATGGTACTGCAAGCAGGGAGAATAAGTGTCTCTGCTTCTGAACGAGGTTTCATATTTTTAGCGAGTAATTCTGCCACTAAGTAGCTGGCCTCTTGAGCTTTATTAGAAACTTTGATTATTTTAGATAATGTCAGGTTCTGTTGTTTTCGCTCATTTAAAAGTCTCTCGAAGTATGATCGAGGCTTGTTAGTAAGATGACCATGTTTCGTAGTGAAATGTCTCTTTAATTTGCTGGGTACCATAGCTTCATTGGCCAGTTTATCACCACAAATAACACATTCTGGCATAGAATTAACTTCATCACCACACAAAGTAAATCCCAGACCTAAATAACTGTCCAAATACAAACGCCTTTTCTTTTTTCTAATCACATCAGTTTTACCGGAAGTGGGAACTGTTCTTTTTCTTTCACTCATATTTCCACCTTTGTGTTCCTTTTTGCCCTCACCGCAGTCATCCTCATGTTTTCTCTTAATCACAAACTTGCTCATATTAAGTTAAAGGACAAGCTACTGTTTAAAACGTCTGTCCTTATAGTAAAATGAGAAAGCGACTCATTACATCACCCTGGGAAGTCAACACATCAATGATGAAAACCAATCACATATTGGACGGCACATACTGTAAAGTTGTACACAAAGAAAATGATGACTGTAAACTAAATACAACCTGTGACTATTATATCAATTTACTTTCTTGTCATAAATGCCCTTTGACTTAATATTAATTATGTATTTACTATTATGTGTATACTATTATAGTTTACCATTTAATGACATCTGTTTCTGTGGTAGTTAATTATATAACATGCTAGTAAAAAAAAATGAGATGTTTTAATTAGGATGATGAAGTTAGGGCAAAATTACTAACAATCTTGTGGCACCCCTGGGCACTGTCAGTGACACACCAGGGTACTGTCAGTGGCATACCAGGGTGCTGTGGCACCCTGGTTGAAAAACACTGCCCTAGCACATGTTGGTATGAGAAACACAACATATACAACATAATTCCCAATACATATATGAGCAGATAATCACTATTACTTCTAATAGTTACTGAAAAACTGTATATAAAGTATATATACCTGATATGATACACTGCACAGTACATTTCAAGTAGTTTCTACAAACTGAATGCTTAACTGACTCACGAAATCAAAATAACACAGTTGCAAACAAACCATGGAATGGGTGGTGTTTGAACCCATGGCAAGTGAGTCCTAAAACTCCAAGTCGAGTGGCTTATGCACTGGCCAGAATTTTTAGGACTTACTTGCCCTAAGTCCAATCCCCACCCACTCTGTGGTTCAAATACTTACCTAGCAGCCATTTTGAACATACTTTGTATTCCAGGAATCAAGTGGTTCCTGTTGTCAAGTATAGCTGTTTTTCCACGTATTAAGCCCCTTAACAAAAATTTCATTGGTAGATGACTTAAATGGATGATTAACTGTAATAGAAGATGGTAATGTGTCAGTAATATGTAGTTTCACATTACATGAGAGCAAATGTAGAAATGCATTGCTCTGCACAATCGTCATATGGGACATGGAAGAGAATCTGGATAATCATGTGTAAAATTCATATTAAAGTACATATGCTGATGACACTACCCTAATTGTGTTAGGAAAAGACTGAAAATATATAGTTAATGTGTTATAATCTGAACAGTGAACAATGAACAATAGATAACAAATTATGCTTGCATTCTGGGAAACCTGAAGTATTACTGTTCAAATTAAAAAGAAAATTAAGAATAAATAAGTTTAATGTTATGTGCAATGAACCTATCTCAACATTATGTTGCATCTCCTGCCAAGACTTTTGCTTTCATAGGGAGTGATTTTCGCATTCAAGTTTGGCTCTAAGGTCAGCTTAAGCATGTGTATAAATCAGATACAGAATAAACAGCGAACCCCACTGGAAATAAATCAAACTACTGTATTTTGACTTGCTGGAATATCCTTGATTAAATAATTTTAATTTATTACTAATCTGCCCATACTAATCATGCACTTAATAAAGCAACCATTGTAGCACTTCAAGAAAAATCTGCAAAATTACCTCTATTTAACCTAACTACATCTCATACAGCATTATCTTATCTTGGCCACCCTCTAGTGGTCTCAGGGGAATACAGGGCCATCATCTCTTGTGGACTTATTGTATTATTATTATAATCAAGGGGGAAGTGCCAAACCCATAGGAGTATACAGTGCCTGTGGGGGGATGTGGAAATTATTCATGTTTAATTCAGGGAACTGGAGTACATATCCAGTTCCCTAGATCAAGAGCCCCTCACCAGCATCTAGGAACTTTTCTTGAGAGGGACTTAATGTAGGCAGTGACACCTACTGAAACATCAAGGTAGTTATTTCTAGAGGCCTCAGGGTAGAGGGAGTCTTATGATCTGAGTGGACAGAACCACAATCCCTAATAGCCTCGGGGTGCATGGGGCCATCATCCCTAGTGGCCTCGGGGTGCATAGGGCCATCATCCCTAGTGACCTCAGGGTGCACAGGGCCATCATCCCTAGTGACCTCAGGGTGCACAGGGCCATCATCCCTAGTGATCTAAGGGTGCATAGGGCCATCTTTTGTACCCTCAAGATGCACAAGGCCACCATCTTTAGTGGACTCATGGTAGACAGGGCCATTATCTCTCATGGCCTCAGAGTGCACAGGTTGGAGTTTCCTATGATTTTACTGCAGACAGGATAGTTGCAGTATTTTGTAGCCTCAATACAGACCAAAAGTATAAACCTACACCAGGTGATCTGTATTGGCATACAAAAATCTTAAAATGTACACAGATTATTAGTATTATATTCACAGGATGTGTTAGCCCTTTTAATACAAAGTGAATTTAATGTACCTAAGAGAAGAACTCGATATGTACTATGAGGTACAGTAACTTCTTGGACTTGTTACAAGTGTTGTTGGGGGTTTATAGGGCCACTAACAATCTCGCTTATTGGATTTATAGGGCCATTGACAGCTTTTGCCGTATCTTCTTGGGGTATATAGGATCACTGACAACTTTTGCCGAATCTTTTTAAGTAAGTAAGTAAGTTTATTCAGGTATACACAAATACAGTTACATAGAATTATCATACATAGCAGTATATGTGTAGAGAACCTGGGATAACCCAAAAAAGTCAGAGTGACTTATTTCCATTGGGGTGCTTTTACCTTATTATTACCTTATTATTATATAAAGGTTATTATTATAATATAAAGGTTATAATTCTTAGGGTTTATAGGGTCAAAGAAGGCTTTCGCGGTATCTTCCTGATGTTATTGGGAGTTTATAGACCACCAGCAGTTTTCATCCTATTTCATTTAGGGATTTATAGGGCAATTAACAGTTTTCGCCGTATCTTCTTTGGGATTTATAGGGCTACCAACATCTTTCATCATATCTTATTACCACTTAAAAATACCATTTCTTCACATAGTTGCTATACACAGAATAGTAAACAATACAATTTCAAAAAGCGTATCTTATTACCACTAAAAATAATGAAAATCATTGGTCATAACTGGGTTGCAGTCCCCTTTAGATGGTGTGCCTGGCAATATAAGTTATGGCACTGTCTTTCCTGTATTGAAAAGGGACACATTTCAGGGTGAAAAAGCTTACAGGAAGGGAGTTTGCATTTTCCTGTTGTCATATGGGCACGGTATTTTCTAGGGTGGTCAAAGACAGTTTTGTTTATCTAGTCGATGCAAAATTTGGATATAACCTAAAGATTTCAGAAATCTTATCATTAAAAATGAGGTGTTTTGTCATATCCTATAAGGTCTGTATGGAGGTGACTCTGAAAGGTTGAATGTTTGGACACTAAGATATAATGCTCCAATGTATGGCCTTGTCGATGTCCACATACACTTTGCATTTTATGTCACTGACATATCCATATTAACCGAACTGCCAGAGATACTTATAGTCTAGCCTTAGTCTAGCAGTAACAACATCTTCCAATCTACTGATTTTATATCTTTCTCCATAGATATGTTTGACTTCACTCATTTTGCTATGATGGATAATGGATCTGCTAGTTCTTGTCTGCATTGTTCAACTTTCTTCAAGCTCGTTTGCTAGTTCCTTTCTGGCAATGTTTCGTAAATTTCTCTGAGAAAACAAATTATACTCAACTTTCTCTTTATTAAATGTTTGTTTAGCTAATTCATTAGCTTTGTCATGCTCCTGGAAGCCTGTACCTGGAGTATACCTGGAGAGGGTTTCGGGAGTCAACGCCCCCTCGGCTTAGTCTGGGACCAGACCACAAGCTTGACACCAACAAGTATGGTAAACAGCTCAGTTTGTAAGGTGGAAAGCCCAATTATTAATTCTAATACATCTCTGTATTATAGTGCCATCAGGCCGGTTGACAATAATAGCACTTCCTGCCCTCCCACTGTTAGGGTTAAGGGAGCCATCAGCTCAGAGAGTCTGTGTGATGGTATTTTATGTCCCAAGGTCGTGTGTGTTTTCCAGAACATTGATTTTAGAAAATAATCGAGGATGAGAATTATCCCATTGTGACCTCTAATCCTGAGTTTTACGATACCACTCACAGGATGAAATTGGAGTGTATAATTAACTAGCCGCTTAAGCGGCACAACTAAAAAAAAAAAAAAAGGCTTCTGATGAATAGCGCCCAAGACCAATTGTACACTGAGCTACGTATGATTAATATAAATAAACTTACCGGGGAGAGAACGGGGAGGAAATTTGTCACTGATGCTGAGGACCAGGTAGAGTGAGATATCTGCACTCTGTTAACACTGGTACTGAAGTTTCTTCTCAGCGTGGGTTCTTGGAGTCATTGTGAATCAGCGGATTTAGTCAGTTGGTTCACGTGCACCCATATACGAGGTACTATAATCAAAATATTGTAAGCATGTTATAGACAACCTGGAAAGGGCTTCGGGGGCCAACGCCTCCGCGGCTCGGTCTGAGACCAGGCCTCATGGTGGATCAGGGTCTGATCAACCAGGCTGTTACTGCTGGCCACTCGCAAACTGACGTAAGAATCACAGCCCAGTTGGTCAGGTACTGACTTTAGGTGCCTGTCCAGTGCCTTCTTGAAGACAGCCAGGGGTCTATTGGTAATCCCCCTTATGTATGCTGGGAGGCAGTTGAACAGTCTTAGACCCCGGACACTTATTGTGTTGTCTCTCAGTGTACTCGTGGCGCCCCTGCTTTTCATTGGGGAAATGTTACATCCCTTGCCGAGTCTTTTGCTGTCATAGGGAGTGATTTTCGTGTGCAAGTTTGGTACTAATCCCTCTAGGATTTTCCAAGTGAATATTATCACGTATCTCTCTCGCCTGCATTCCAGGGAATACAGATTAAGGATCTTCAACCGTTCCCAGTAATTTAGGTGTCCTGTCGTACTTATGTGTGCCGTGAAATTTCCTTGTATACTCTCCAGGTCAGCTGTTAGTGTACAGCAGTATTTCAGCGTACCTGGAGGGTGTTTCGGGGATCAACGCCCCCGCGGCCCGGTACATGACCAGGCCTAGAAAGAACAAGTGATTTGAAGAGAATCATCATGGGTTTGGTTTCCCTAGTTTTGAAGGTTCTCATTATCCATTCATTCATTTTTCTGACAGATGCGGTAGATACATTGTTATGGTCTTCGAAGGCGAGATCCTCTGACATTATCACTCCCAGGTCCTTCACATTACTTTTTCGCTCTATTGTATGGTTAGAATTTGTCGTATACCCTGATACAATTTTAATTTCCTCAAGTTTTCCATATCTGAGTAGTTGAATTTTTTCTTCATTGAACTTCATATTGTTTTGAGTGGCCCATTTGAAGATTTGGTTGATGTCCGCTTATAGTCTTGCGGTGTCTTCGATGGAGGTCACTGCCATGGCAATCTGGGTGTCATCCGCAAAGGAAGAAACGGAGCTATGGCTTACATCTCTGTCTATGTCAGATATGAGGATGAGGAATAGAATGGAGCAAGTACTGTGCCTTGTGGAACAGAGCTTTTCACTGTAGCCACCTCAGACTTTACTCTGTTTACTATTACTTTTTGTGTTCTATTTGTTAGGAGGTTATAGACCCATCTACTAACTTTTCCTGTTATTTCTTTGTCACGCATTTTGTGTGCTATTACACCATGGTCGCACTTGTCGAAGGCTTTCGCAGTCTTTGTATACTACATCTGCATTTTGTTTATCCTCTAAAGCCTCCAGGACCTTGTCATAGTGGTGCAGTAGCTGGGACAGACAGGAGCGACCTACTCTAAACCCGTTTTGCCCTGGGAGGCAATAGACCCCTGGCAGTCTTCAAAAAGGCATTGGATAGACACCTAAAGTCAGTACCTGACCATTTGGGCTATGGTTCGTATGTCAGTTTGTGTGCGGCCAGCAGTAACAGCCTGGTTGATCAGACCCTGATCTACCACGAGGATTGGTCTCAGACCAAGCCGCATGCGCGTTGACCCGCGAAACCCTCTCCAGGTATATCTGGGTGGTTGGCGATCTTGCTTCTTAGAATCCTTGTGTACATACAGTGTGTTGACGTTGGCTGGAGGCGCAGGAGGAAAAAGTTGATCACCAACTGCATGTGATAGCAATCTCTTCATTATTAAAGTATTGCGAATCATAAAAAATGTTTTTTATGAGTATAATTAAAGTTAATTATGTGTAGATTTCATAAAACCTTACCATTTCAGTAAATCTTGGTGAAATCTAATAGTATAACTATAATATAGCCGAGTACAAGGAAGGACACTGGTAACTTTCCAAGGCTGTGTCCACATCCTTCTCTTACTGCCTACTTTTCTTGTTTGAGTATTCTTCTTTTTCTTCTTCTTCTTATTATTATCGTTATATTCACAGGAAATCGATAAGGTTACACAGCACCTGGGGAATGGGAAATAGTCTGGTTTACCCCCAAAAAGCAGCAAACTCACATTTCTTGCATAGATTTCCTGCAGCACGTAGGCACCCTCCTTGAGGAGTATTAAATGTTAGTGTTGAGAAGAGACCTGGCACTGTGCCACCACACACACACATACACTGGTGTTAACGTGGTAGACTTCAGACATCATCTACATTACTCCTTAACTACTCTATACCACAAGGTATTTGTTTAATTTTAGATTAGATTTAATTTTAAACAAGGGAAAATCGCTAAGCAAGCAAGGTTGATATACCTCCGGGACAATACAAATAATTTATTTCTTTTCTGCAGTATACAGGTAATGTAGTTTACATGTATTAAAATATGTTAGGCACCATAAAAGCCACTAGTATGCAGTGCATTTCTGGCAGGAGAAGTCCAGTTCCTTGGATCAGGAGCCCCTCACCGGCATCAATGCACCACCTTTGAGAAGCACTTTCCTGGAAACTTGGAAAGAGGCGGGATATTCCTACCGTACCTTCTTTATTTAATGTCCGATTTGTTTTACTGAAAATATGTCTATAATGAAATACGAGGGTGTAGAAGTTTCATGGTGACAGGCCTGAAAATAAAAAATAAAAATTTTGATGTGGTAACACTCGTCAGTACATACATACAGTCAAGAGGCGGGACCAGGAGCTGAGTCTCGACCCATGCAACCACAATTAGGTGAGTACAAGAAAAATTGGACAGAGGAAAAGTGATGCAAATGAATATACACCATTAAATATGGGTCACTTGAAATGGTCATATTCTCAAAAGTTTGAAAAGGCATCGTGTATTTTTTTTTTTTTTTTGAATTTTAAAAATTAATTTTTCTTCGATTTTTTCAGTTAAAATAAAATAAAATAAGTATTTAAAATAAAATAAAATTTTTGACACGAAGCTATATTCCAGCGAAATTCGTATTATCCGATTATTCGGCCAAGAAAAATCGAAGAGAAACTTTAAACACCAAAACTTTCCTTGAATTATGCCTTTTTTAAATTAATAAATGAATATTTAAAAAAAACATGATAAATAATTCTGCGGGAAGAGGATCTTCCCAAGAAGTTGCCATATAATCGACACCATGCCCAGCCCTTCTAGGGTAGGGTAGGTGCCTGAGTCCGAGCCTTTAGCTCATAAGACTGTCATTCCCATTTACCCCCTTGTGGCGGGGATGGCAGACCAGAGAGGCCTAGCTTGTGGCTAGGCCTGGGGACAGTTGGTCCCAAAGATGAGGAGGTACTTGTGCCTCCTCCCATGGGAGACTTAGGTCTCAGACACTCCCTAAAGAGGGAGCCAAGGCCGGGCCACCACTTGGAAAAGGCCCGGGCCGGGAGAATACCGGCTAATCTTTAATAATAATAATAATAATAAGTTGCCATAACAGAATATTTGGACGATATCCACAATGTCCTACCCAAGTATTATTTTATCCATCCTCTTATTATTATATGTCAGATATCTATTATTATTATTATTGGGAAGCGCTAAACCCGTAGCTATAATGGGGGAATGTAAGGAAATCAGGTTTCGTCCATTATTGTGGAAGATATCTCTTGATTCCTCGGATCACGACGCTCCCTGAAGAGCATTATAATACTACGGGTTTAGCGCTTCCCCATAATTATAATAATACTACTTATAATACTTGCTGAAGGGGCAAGACATGAGTGGGTAGCTAGGATCAAGAATTCACACCACATTGCACCCAAACATTATATCTTTGCTGCATCAAGTCTATTTTTCACTGCAATATTTAAAACTCATCCCTCACACAAATACAGGTGTTGGTATCACTATATTCTGATACATACCCTTGAATATCACATATTTAGGACTGGAGTAATTCTGGCTTGTTAGTACCTAATGGTATATTCTGGATTAGTTTTTTGGTTTAAAAATTATAAAATAGGTTGATAAAAACTTTTGTTCGGTACAGATGGTGAGGTTGGTGATAATGTTGGTGATGGTGATGGCAGCAAGTGATTGTGTGACTACAGATGTTCAGCCTGACGTCAGGAATTATGACTTGTTCACGCCAATCCATGAAAACTGTACACGTGTAAGAAATTAAAACAAAATTATATATTTTTTTTGGTTCTCTACTGATTTAATATCAGTCATTGCTGGTTAGCCTGTGTTTAACGCACACTTAAATTATGCAAATTCATTCTAAGTTTATTTAGGTACAAGCACATATAAGTACAATTATATCGTTATATTATTGCTTGTTCCAATAGTTACTGTACTATACTACAGAGTAGGCCTACTTTATACAGTAATATAGTAATAGAAATAATACTAATAGTAAAAATATGTGGCACACAAATCATTTACCTTTTGCAAAGCTTCAGTCGGTCACTGCTGATATAGAATTACCATACATGATTGTTGTAATTTAAATATCAAGAAGATACATTTTGCTTTGATATTACTGTATAACCTATTATCCTAAATTCCAAAGAGAGATAACTTACAGCTTTGAAATCTGGCAGAGTCTGATGGAGTTACTGTTGCTGAGGCAAGAAATTCGTCTGAACCAGCTTATAGAAACAGAAAAGGAGTCAGCAGCCACACTAGCCACAGTGGCTCAATTACTGACTGAAGTGAAAGATGCAATCATCAGTAAGCCTAAACAAGAATCAGAGGATTTTCACAGTAAGACAATTCAAATACTAGATCCAGTTAATATATATATATATATATATATATATTATATATATATATATATATATATATATATATATATATATATATATATATATATATATATATATATATATAGATATATATATATATATATATATATATATATATATTTATATATATATATACCACGGGTAGGGATTGAACTCGCGGTTAGAGTCGTAAAACGCTGGCCCAGTGGATAACGCGTCTGTCTGAAGTTTTAGGACCCTAACCGCGGTTTCAAACCCCGCCCGTAGTATGGTTTATTTACAATCGTGTAACTACGATTTCGTGAGTCAGTAGATCCAGTTGTTTTATTAGATACAGAATTTTGTGGGGGGGGGGGAACTTCCACCAAGGTAAAGTAAGGTAACCTCAAAGTGGAACGCTTTCACCATCACTCATTCTATACCTGTCTCTAGAAGTGCAAGCATAACATTCCAAACAACTAAGTACAGGTACTGTACTACCTACTTCCAAAATACAGGATTAACTAGCTCCCCTGGATCTTTTCATAGACATTGCCTTAATCACAATACAAATGCCCATCTAATCCAAAAAATCACAGGCCTACTGGATGCCCAAGCCACTACCATTCAAACCTTCCTTCATACCCCCCTGTCAAACTCTTGGTTATATGGCCTCCACTACACCTCTTCCAAGCCATCTGATTTCTTTACTCTGTCAACCTGTCTTGCTCTATATTTTGCAACTGACAAAATCATCTTAGCACTCGTTCTTCGGCTCCTACTCGTCTTTTAATTTCTTCACTGCCTCCTGTCTCCTATAATTTTGCTACAACATTCAGCTTCCAAGTCTCACACTTCCCCAAAACTGTTGGTGTTATAATACTCCGATACATTTCCTACTTTGCATATACAGTATTGACAAACTTACTTCTTTACTCGGACTTCTCATCATTTCTGTTTTTTCACAGATATTCACATACATTAATTTCAGTTCAGAGTACAGTGCTTGCACTCTGAAGGAAGTATGGGGATGTTGCAGCTAGGAGGACGGTAATCTGAATGGTGATGTCAGCACACTTATGGCAAAAAGAGAAATAAATGAACGATGGTGAACGTGTTTCCTTCTCTGGGTCATCCTGCCTTGGCGGGTGACGGCAGATAGGTAAAGAAAAAAAAATTATATGTTACAATATTTTTACTTAAAATACATTATATATGCAAGTACTTTGAGTGACCATGGTCCCAGGACCAAAAGGTTCCCAGTCAAATATCTTAGTTACCTTGTGTTCGATTTTTTTTTTCAGGTAAAAATTTTTGTCACAAGTATTTGTAACCGAGCACATTCTTAAACTTGTAGGTGAGGTGTGCACAGCACCATTCTCAAGAGTAGGAAAAACCTGCCTCTTGCTTGCGTTAGGGCATCAAGTCACCTGGGCCGCAGCTCGACAGTATTGCTCTGCCAGAAGTGGTGATTTGGCTACATTCAGTGATGCTAACACCTATGCTGAGTATCTTGGTTACGTCAACGTAGTCAGTAAGTATTACCATTAAGCTTTATTACAATGATAAAATAATAAGCTTCGTATCACACTTCTAAGCTCATCTAGAGTATATATTTTACATAAAATTTTATTTTCTTGTTAAATCTATTAACAGAATATGTAGGTACAATCAACTTGTAAAGTGCGGACATTAACCAAATCTTTAATTAAATGGGCCTCAGAAAACAATATGAAGTTCAGTGAGGACAAATTTCAATTACTCTGTTATGGAAAACTCGAGGAAATGAAAACTGCATTGGAATATAAAACAAATTCCAACCACACAATAGAGCGAAAAAGCAATGTGAAGGACCTACGAGTGATAATGTCAAAGAATCTCACTTTCAAAGATCCCAACAATGTCTCTACACATCTGCTAGGAAAATGATAGGATGGATAATGAGAACCTTCAGAACTAGGGATGCCAAGCCAATGATGATTCATTTGGAATCGCTTGTTCTCTCGAGGCTGGAATACTGCCTTACACAAACGGCCCCTTTCAAAATATGGAAAATTGCAGATCTGGAGAATACAATAAAGCACCTCAATTACTGGAACGGCTGAAGTCCCTTGACTTGTACTCCTTGGAAAATCCAGGGACTTGTCCCAAATCTGCACTCGGAAATCACTCCCTACGAAAGCAAAAGACTCGGCAGGCGGTGCAGCATCTCCTCAATGAAAAGTAGGGGTGCCATGAGTACACTTAAGAGACATCACAATAAGTGTCAGTGACCCAAGACTTTTCAACTGCGTCCCAATATATATAAGGGGGATTGCCAATAGACTCGTAGCTGTATTCAAGAAGGAGCTGGACAGGGACCTAAAGTCAGTACCTGACCGGCTGGGCTGCGGTTAATACGTCGGTTTGCATGCGGCCGGTAGTAACGGCCTGGTTGATAGGGCCCCGAGCCACCGCGAGGCCTGGTCATGGAGTGGGCCGCGGGGTCGTTGACCCTCAGAAGGCTCTCCAAGTATGTTGTAACTCTCAATAGAGAAAAAACATATGATTAGGTAAACGGACCAAATATTTCATATAAATTCACGGTAAAGAAAATGGTGCAATAGTCAATACCTGGGGGGGGGGGGGTTCCGGGGGTCAACGCCCCCGTTTAAAGATAACACACCTGCTTATATTATTATTATAATGGGAAAGTGCTAAACCCATAAGGGTGTGGAAAATTACATTTACTTGGATGTATCATTATATACATAACAGTAAATGATAACAAAGATAATTATTATTTATCAGAGTTACATCGACAAGTAGGAATTTGGGACACCTAGGTCACAAAAAATGTCCCCCTTCGATACCTACCACTGTCATATCCACAAGTTGCTCTGGACCTATTAATTATAAATGAAATATACATACACCAGGAATTCTGGTAAATATATAAATTTGTGGACTGTATATTAAAATTAATAAAGGATTATATATATATATATATATATATATATATATATATATATATATATATATATATTATATATATATATATAATATATATATATATATATATATATATATTATATATATATATATATATATCACATTTATACAAACAGAAGGAGAATATATCTTAATCATAACACTCACCAATTTGACTGGAGATTAATGTTGTATCATACTCAGAAAAAACCTCACTAACTAAATTTATGAAAACACTGGCCAGAATTATACACATATCTAGAGAGCTTATCTGAGGTTCCTGGAGCTGTCTTGTCCAGTCGTCTGATATCTCAAGTTATGCAGGAATGCATATCCACCAATTTCGCCTCCTATTTGAGAGGTGTCAGTACAATTTTACCTCTACACAGCACCGTGTCTTCCTTTGCAGATGACACCCGAATCTGCATGACAGTGTCTTCCATTGCAGACACTGCAAGGCTCCAGGCGGACATCAACCAAATCTTTCAGTGGGCTGCAGAAAACAATATGAAGTTCAACGATGAGAAATTTCAATTACTCAGATATGGTAAACATGAGGAAATTAAATCTTCATCAGAGTACAAAACAAATTCTGGCCACAAAATAGAGCGAAACACCAACGTCAAAGACCTAGGAGTGATTATGTCGGAGGATCTCACCTTCAAGGACCATAACATTGTATCAATCGCATCTGCTAAAAAATGACAGGATGGATAATGAGAACCTTCAAAACTAGGGAGGCCAAGCCCATGATGACACTCTTCAGGTCACTTGTTCTATCTAGGCTGGAATATTGCTGCACTCTAACAGCACCTTTCAAGGCAGGTGAAATTGCCGACCTAGAAAATGTACAGAGAACTTTCACGGCGCGCATAACGGAGATAAAACACACTCAATTACTGGGAGCGCTTGAGGTTTCTAAACCTGTATTCCCCTGGAACGCAGGAGGGAGAGATACATGATTATATACACCTGGAAAATCCTAGAGGGACTAGTACCAAACTTGCACACGAAATCACTCACTACGAAAGCAAAAGACTTGGCAGACGATGCACCATCCCCCCAATGAAAAGCAGGGGTGTCACTAGCACGTTAAGAGACCATACAATAAGTGTCAGGGGCCCGAGACTGTTCAACTGCCTCCCAGCACACATAAGGGGGATTACCAACAGACCCCTGGCAGTCTTCAAGCTGGCACTGGACAAGCACCTAAAGACAGTTCCTGATCAGCCGGGCTGTGGCTCGTACGTTGGTTTGCGTGCAGCCAGCAGCAACAGCCTGGTTGATCAGGCGCTGATCCACCAGGAGGCCTGGTCACAGACCGGGCCGCGGGGGCGTTGACCCCCGAAACTCTCTCCAGGTAAACTCCAGGTAAACTCCAGAGCACGAAAAATTCTTCCCCATTCACCAACGTTTCTAATACAAATTCAAATCCAAGATGGCGAGTGTCTCTTCCTTTTTTCGATAACATACTTCTTTTAAAAATACAATATAGGGCATCTATTTACCTATAAATTACCGTATTTCCGGAAAATATACAGTATTTTCCACAAGGGGCAAGAGGTTTGGTTATCTCTCGCTTTTAACAATTATTTTCATCAACAGATAAAGAAAATGCAGCTGTATCGATATGGATCGGTGGGTCAGATGAAGCTGAGGAAGGTGTGTGGACCTGGATCACAGGAGAACTTATGCCCAGAGGTCCACCATTCTGGGGATCAATAGATGGGTAAGAAAGTACCATTTTCTTATAACATACAATATATGTTATTAAAAGAGTAAAGCAGAGTACAGTTAATGTTAGTCATAAATAATCTGGTAGCTGAAAGAGCCCAATGGAAATAAGTCACTCTGACTTTTTTGGGTTATCCTAAGTTCTCTACACATATGCTGTTATGTATGATAATCTATGTAAGTGTATTTGTGTATACCTGAATTAACAGACTTACTCCATGCATGAAGGACGGCGTTATTTTCATTCCGCCCAAAAATAAAATGGTTGACAATTAACATGAGAACCTTACTATACTGCTCTAACCACAAATAAGTCAACACATAAATAAATGTACAAATGCAGTATTAAAGAAGTGCTTGAAAGCTTCCACAGAAGCTTCTAGGCTGTAAATAATACTTCAAATCTCTCTCATATATAATTTTCCAACCTTTATTTGCCTTTGTGGTCGATATATTAATCTTATACTGTATTTGTCTTTGATTTTGTAATGCCTTCAAATTTTCGGGTTATAAATACTTACCAAAGTGTTCCTCCCTTCTTTTCATACATTGTAGTGTATCATGTTTATTACACAACTTACATTATAATCTGTTATTGATGGATTACTTTTTAATTGCTAATAATTATTATATGCACAATGCTCAGTACTGATTAGAGTAAATGATGCTACCAACAGTGCTAGATCTTCCGGCACTTCAGTGTCAAATATTTAATTGGTAAAATACAGTAAGAAATTTTGGTGGGCTTTTCTCCTTACTTGTGTGATCATTGTTATTTTAATACACTGGCTGTCTCCCACCGAGGCAAGGTAACCCGAAAAAGAAGACATTAAAGTTTTTCTTCTTACATTTAGTAATTTATACAGGAGAAGGGGGTTACTAGCCCCTTGCTCCTGACATTTTAGTCTCATGACTTGAAAAACAAATCCTTAAGGGGGCTATTTAGCAGTGATTACTCGTGAAATTTTCTTGACAGGTACAGAGCAGAACCAGGTGGGGGACGTGGAGAGAACTGCTGCTTTCTGTTTCATTCTGACAAGTACTATCTGCATGATGGACATTGTGTTAACGTTAAAGCAGCACCACTATGTCAGAAAGTATATAACTGATCTCTAAATGTTTTATTGCATTTAGCTCAGATGTTGTCACTGAAGAAGTTTATTTGGAGCAGTTTACTGGATTTACTTGGAGTTAATGTATTGATTGTGTGGCAATCTATAATCATAAAAATATGTTTTTTTAAATAAAAACAATGCAAGAACTTTTAAAAAATTATTTATCCCATTTAGCAAAGAAAAAAAATCCCTCTTCTCAAGTGAATAATGTCTCCCAAGTCAGGTAAAAATTTGGGCTTGGAACGTTAAGTGATTTTTTTTATCAAGCTTGTATTTCAGTGTGTACTAAATAATGAGCCTAAGGCTGGAACAACTCACAGAAACTTTTGATACTAATTAGTCAACAGATTTGTTTATTTTTTAACTTGTAAAAGTCACAAGTACTGTTTATGTATACAAGTATGCAATTATAAGCAAGGCCAAGACGTACCAAAAAATGTATGTTTTGATCAACAGAATAACCTCTAGAGATGGATGTGGTGTCTGCCACGAAAATTAGTATTATATTCATGGGAAAGAGCTAAACCCATAGAAGTCATACAGGTAATCAGGTTTGGTGCGAGGAAGAGGAAGGTAGATCCACCAACAGCATTAAGGAACTCACTTGAATGGCACCACAACTGGAAGCTGTAAAAAAATTATTAAAACAGTTGCACAATATAAAAATTTGACGCCTATCATGATGACACTCTTCAGGTCTTTTGTTCTATCTAGGCTGGAATATTGCTGCACACTAACAGCACCTTTCAAGGCAGGTGAAATTGCTGACCTAGAAAATGTACAGAGAACTTTCACGGCGCGCATAACGGAGATAAAACACCTCAATTACTGGGAGCGCTTGAGGTTCCTAAACCTGTATTCCCTGGAACGCAGGCGGGAGAGATACATGATTATATACACCTGGAAAATCCTAGAGGGACTAGTACCAAACTTACACACGAAAATCACTCACAACGAAAGCAAAAGACTTGGCAGACGATGCAACATCCCCCCAATGAAAAGCAGGGGTGTCACTATCACGTTAAGAGACAACACAATAAGTGTCAGGGGCCCAAGACTGTTCAACTGCCTCCCAGCATACATAAGGGGGATTACCAATAGACCCCTGGCTGTCGTCAAGCTGGCACTGGACAAGCACCTAAAGTCGGTACCTGACCAGCCGGGCTGTGGCTCGTACGTTGGATTGCGTGTAGCCAGCAGTAACAGCCTGGTTGATCAGGCCCTGATCCACCATGAGGCCTGGTCACAGACCGGGCCGCGGGGGCGTTGACCCCCGGAACTCTCTCCAGGTAAACTCCAGGTATCAGAAGAGGCATTCTCAAGGTAACACGAGGCAGCACTGGTGGAAGAATAAAGAATTTTGACTACTGTTATTATAGTTAAAGAGTCTTGTGGATGAAGAATGGGAGGCAACCAAGTTCGATTCATGAATGGTAAGAACAGGCCCAACTCCTTGGATGAAGAGCCCCTTACCAGCAACGAAGAACCTTGTTAGTTACATAGGGTGTGAGTGGCAGGACTGAGCAAGGAAAAACCCACCACCAACTGCGAGCGACATCAAGCTCTTTATTAGCAATATATAATGTACAATAAAATACAAATTATTGTTATAATTAAGGTTATTTGAATACCTTATAAAACCTGCCAAATTCAGTAAATATTGGTGGAACCTAATATGTATGACTAATATATAGCTGAGTATAAGGAAGGATTATGGTAACTCCCGCAAGGCTGTGTCCAAATCTGTCTTTCATTGTTTTATTTTCTTATTGATTGTTTATCATTATATTCAGGGGTGAGCGCTAAACCATTAAAGGTCATATCACGCCCGGGGAATGGAAAGTAATCAGTTTTGATAAGAAACTAAGATAGCTCATATTCCTTGAATAAAGAGCCTCTGGCCTGTAGGGGGACAGCCTCCTAGGAAGGAATTATCAGTATTGGGAAGAGACTGTGATAGGTAACACTTGCCAAGGTGCAAGATCTGATCAACCGTCTGCTTCTACTGAACTACGATACTGAGGTCAAGGTATGGTATTATTATTATTATATGGGGGGGGGGGCGCTGCTCCCGTTGATATACAATGCCTGGGGAATGGGATGACGGTAGGTTCGAATTAATTCCTTGGATCTAGACACCTTAACAGGTATTAAGCTACCTTGAGGATTATTCATAGTATAAATTCTCAGTGCTGTGAGTATTTGAGGTGATCCTTACGGGTTTAGTGTTTCCCTAAATATAAGTTTTTATTGCATTCATGGGGAAGCATTAAAACCTTAGGGGGTCATATCGAGCCTGGAGAAATGAAGGAATTCAGGTTCGATCCAAGGCACCTACTATGAGGGGTCACGATTTTTTTAATTTCAATCATGGGTCATATAGTACATAGGAAATAAGAGGCTCTCAGATTCCATTCAAAGAATGACAGCATAAATTCAGCTTATGCATCAAGGCATATCTGTTGAGGGGTCAAGAGCCCTTCAGCATCAAGGTGGGCACTGTGACCCCTAAGGGTTATACAGTGCCTGCGCTTACCCATGAACGTAGTAACTGAAGATAAAGGCACTTTACTTGAAGGGTGTGATAGTTTATCACACCTTGTTCTATCAGTTACCAGGGTGAGGCACATTTGCCTCTTATATATTCGTGTAAATCACATGCATGGGTGACTTACATATTTGCTCTTTTCATAGCTTACGGAGTTAGATATATCTTCGTCTAGTATGTGACTGCTTCATTTGTGTAGCGCTCTACTGCCAGCCTTGTAGGATATAACCCTGCCAGTATCTGAGACTAAAACGGAAGGCAGACAGTTACAGCAGTAGGCTGAGTTACAGAAATAGACACTGACAGCAACAGGAAGTTATCATAACTGCAGAAAGTAGACACTGTTACAGCAGTACACAATGATACCAGTAGGTAGACGCCATGACAATAGGCAGACACATTTATAATAAGCAGGCATGTTAACAGCATTAGATAGAAATTATTATTATTATAATCAAGGGGGTTAGCGCTAAACCCGTAGGATTATACAGCGCCCAGGGGGGGATGTGGAAGGCATTCAGGCTTAATTCGGGGAACTGGAGCACAGATTCAATTCCCTAAATCAAGAGCCCCTCACCAACATCAAGGAACCTTCCATGAGGGGATTAGACAGAAAGGGTTATATCAATAGGCTGACATGGTTACATTATTATAATCAAAAAGAAGCGCTAAGCCACAAGGGCTATACAGCGCTGCTGACATGGTTACAGCAATAGGCTAACACTGACAGTAGTTATAGCAGCAGGGGAATACCGTGATGCAAAACTCAAAACAGTATTTTTTTTTTTCACGAACATCCTTCAACCTTTATTGCATAATTCATATATGTAGTAGTAGCAGTAGCAGCAGTGGTGGTGGCAGCGGAATTATTGTTATATCTTGGGGAAGCACTAAACCTGTAAGGTTTGCATAGTTCCTGTGGAATCAGAGGTAATTTTTTTTAACTCTGGCCATCTCCCACCAAGGTAGGGTGACCCAAAGAAGAAAACATATTCACCAACATTCATTTTATTACTGTCTTTCCAGACGTATGCTCAAATCACAGTAAGATTACCTTGCAAATGCAACATTCTACCTCTCCTTCAGAGTGCAGAACTGCACTTCCACTCCAGTACTCAAGTCTGGCTAACACGCTCACACAAGCTTGCTGGATGCCCAAGCCCCTAAAACTCAAAGCCTCTTGTACCCCTCCCACTGTCAACTGTTCCTTGGATGACCTCTATCCCTCCTACCTTCCAGATTAATTCACCCTTTGTCAACCTATTCCTCTCTACATGCCCAAACCACCTCACCAACCTTGCCTTAGCCCTCTGAATTATACCTTTAGTCAGCCCTCTTTGTCGAATTCTCTGCATGGAATTCACACCACATTGCACCCAAACATTATATCTTTGCTGCAAGTCTATTTTTCACTGCAATATTTAAAACTCATCCCTCACACAAATACAGGTGTTGGTATCACTATATTCTGATACATACCCTTGAATTTAGATTTCAGATTTTGCCACCGAAGTGGCTAGTTACCCTTGTTTCCAAAGATAAACTTTTTTTCACAGATATTTCGACACACCATCCATTTGTTTCCTCCTCATCTAAATACATCCACTTCCTCCATACCCCCTCCCTCCAATTTGGTATTCAATCTTTCATTGCTTAGAATTTGTTACCCTCATCACCTTGCTCTTTTCTACATTTACCTTTAATTTCCTTGTACACACCTTCCCAAATTCATCCACCAACCTTTGTAATTTGTCTTTAGAATCTCTTTAAAGAGGTCATCAGCAAAGACCAACTCAAATGATTCCAACGTTGTATCGGATCCAACTTCTTTCAGTGCCACACCCTTCCCAACACTCGAGCATTTACACCTTTTACATCCCCATCTTTAAATATGGTTAATTATTATTATAATCAAAAAGAAGCACTAAGCCACAAGGACTATACAGCTAAATATGGTTAATAAACATGGTGAAATCACACATCCTGTGCCAAACCCATAGGAGTCATACAGAGGATGGGGAAATGGGAGGTACTCAGTTTTGATCCAAATAAGATTAGGTCAGGTCCAATTCCTTGGATCAAATGCCCCTTACTGGCATCAAGAAATATCCCTTGAGAAGAATGAGAAGTAATCAGGTTTGATCTGTGGAAGATTAAGGTAGCTCTAATTCCTTGGATCAAGAGCCCTTCATCCTTGAAGGGTTAGATGCCATATTGCACAGATTTAGGATTGGAGTAATTCTGGCTTGAGTTCTAGATACATGGAGATTTGTCTAGGATTTCTGTTTTGTTTAAAAAAGAGCATTTGTTCCTCCACAGATGTTGAGGTTGCTGGTGGTGGTGGTGATGACAACAGCAGCACTAAGAGTCGATGTGAGAGCATACATTGAACCTGAAGTCAGGAATCATGAACTGTTTACGCCAATCCATGAAAATTGTACACAAGTAATTAAAACAAAATTCTGTTTAAGTTCTCTGCTGATTTAATATCAGTCATTGCTCATAAGCCTGTATATAATGCATTCTTAATTTATGCAAATTCATCCTAGAGAAAAACACTTCCGGACAAACCCACATTAAATACTTAGTGTTACCCTTTTATCTTCATTATTAGTATGGGGGGGAGCGCTAAATCCGTAGGGATTATACAGCGCCTGTGGGGGGGGGGGGAAGAAGGCATTCAGGCTCAATTCAGGGAACTGGAGCACAGATTCAATTCCCTAGATCAAGAGCCCCTTATCAACATCAAGGAACCTCCCTTAAGGGGCCTTTTATCTTCAAACCAGTAATGCAAATAATGTTTTAATAGCATTTAATTCACAAATATGAAGCAATTAAGAGAAGAAAATAATGACATTTCAGTCCATCCCTTCTCCAGATCTGTCTACTAGTCTTCTCTGCTTTTTCTCACTTGGTTGTGACTTGACAGTGGTCCATGACTTGCCAAAGATCATAAATTTCCTTTCCTAAAAGTGTGCGTTACTTGTGAACTGTTCCAGCCACAGTATTCCGACTTTTATTTTTCTTCTGAAGGTTTATTTATTATTTCTCTTTGGTGAGAATTTTAACAGGCCAACAAGTGGGTATAAGGAAATTATCCAAAATGAGCTCTCTATACATTACATGTCTTTAACCCCACTTTTCCCTGTGAATTTAAACTTTATTTCCATAACTATATTCCCAGTAGCTGCTTGTCTCAATACCTACTGTACTAGAATACACAATAGGCCTACTTTATATTTTTTTATTAACACATCGGCCAATTCCCACCAAGGCAGGGTGGCCCTGTATATAGTAGGCCTACTATATACAGTAAATATAAATTATATATTTATTCATAGCAAAATTGCCAGGGCTGAAACTTGCTTGTTCAATTACATAAATATACTAGTAATAAAAATATATGGTATATAAGCAGTGTACCTTTTATAAAGCTCCAGTTGGTCAACATTGATATGGTGCTACCATAGCTGCTCTATCACACTATTCTTGAATCTTTGTCTAAAATATACTGTACATAATTGTTGTAATTTAAATAGGAAGAATATGCATTTTGCTTTGATATTACTGTATACACAATCTTTCTTCAACCTAAATTCCAAAGAGAGATAACTTACAGCTCTGAAATCTGGCAGAGTCTGATGGAGTTACTGTTGCTGAGGCAAGAAATTCGTTTGAACCAGCTAGTAGACACAGAGAAGGAATCAGCAACCACACTAGCTACAGTGGCTCACTTACTGACTGAATTGAAGGATGCAATCATCAGTAAGCCTAAACAAGAATCAGAGGATTTTCACAGTAAGACAATTTAAATACCAAATCCAGTTGTTTTATTAGACAATTTTGTGGGAAACTTCCACCAAGGCAAGGTAACCTTAAGATGGAAAACACATGTACCATCACTCATTCTCCAGCTGTCTTTCCAGAACTGCAAAGACAAGTGTAATTCTGAAAATTCCCCAAAGTGTAACATTCCTGCATAACTATTAAAGCACAGGCCCTGTAATTTTCACTTCCAAAATTAGTCTAACTAATTTTCCCTGAATCCCTTCATTGATATTGCCTTGATTACATTCCAATTGTCCATCCAACTGCAAAATCCAGTTTTTCACTCAATGATAAAATGCTTGCATATGCCTGCTTGATTCTCAGGCCCATAGCATTCAAACTTACCTTCATACCCTCCAAACTGTTCCTTGTACATTTCCACCTACAACCCATCCACACCACCTGATTTATACACCCACTTAGTCAACCTATCATACTCTAGGGTTTCTAAATGGGTAAACTATTGTAACACCCACTCTTTGGCTCCTGCCTTGTCTTCCAAATTCTTCACTGTGTTCAGTCTCCTTTTCTGCTACATTACCCGTTTTGCATCTACTGACAAACTTACTTACTCCTCACCACTCCTTCCTTTTTTTCCTTATTGTGTAACTTAATTCACTTGCACTCTGAGGGAAGGGGTGGAAATGTTGCAGTTTGGAGGGTAATCTGAGTGATGTTAGCACACTTCTAGCAAGACAGGAATTGAATTAATAATGGTGAAAGTGTTTCATTCTTTGTGTCACCCTGCCTATGCAGATGGCCATTGGGGTAAAAAGAAAGTTACATTCTTGTATTAGTCACAGTGCTTTTAAAATACATTGTGTACAGGTATTTGTAACTTTAGTGGATTCTTAAACTTGCAGGTGAGGAGTGCACAGCACCATTCTCAAGAGTAGGAAAAACCTGCCTCTTGCTTGCAATGGGGCAGAAAATCACATGGGCAGCAGCTCGACAATATTGCTCTGCCAGAGGTGGTGACCTGGCTACATTCAGTGATGCAAACACTTATGCTGAGTATCTTGGTTACATAAATTCAGTCAGTAAGTATTAACATCAAACCTTATTACAATATAAAAAGAATAAGCCTTACATCATATTTCTAAGCTCATCAACAGAATTTTCCAAAAAAAATTTATTTTCAAATTAAATATATTAAGAATATATGCAGGCACAAAAGTCCTTGTGAAAGATGTTTATGCATGTTTCAGCTCTCAATACAGAGAAGACTTAAATGATTAGATTAACCCTTTATCATACCTGTTTATTTTCTCTCTGTTATCAAAGAGATTGATAATTACTCAATCCCATTTTTTATGTCAGTTCAAAAACTTTAAACCAACCCTAATGTGAAACAAACGTGAAAAATATAACCTTTCCTTAATTGTCTCCAGGTAAAAATACTTCCCGATACAGAATGTTATGAAAAAGTTGCAAAAATAAAAATTCAATATACAATAAAGTAACTAACATATACTTCATTTAATAATAAAATATTTATTATTATTATTCCATACATAGTTATCTTCTAGAGGAAATATTATACCCAGAATTAAGGTGACAACTCCATAACTGAAAGCTACAATAATAACTGAATCTGATGTTACCTATGGCAACAGCCGAATACAGAATGGGCAGTTACACCACTAGATTTTGCAGATAAAGAAATGATGGAGTACATTCCTGTAATTCATTGGGGTTAGGTTCCTAGAGGTGCCATGAATCCTGAAAATTCAAATAGAAAATTTTGGATGTATGGCTTATTAAAGAAGGTGGAAAGTACAGTACCTGCACTCTGAAGGAAAGGTAGGGATATTGAAGTTTGCAGGGTTATCTGAACTGTACTGTCAGTGCATTTCTGGCAAGACAGTGATTGAGGGACAGTGAAAAAAATTTCTTCTTTGTTGGGTCACCCTACCTCAGTGGGAGATGGCTGGTGTTAAAAATTTTTTTTTATAAATAATCCTATACGTATGCTTAAATGTTGAAGTCGATAATGAGAAATGAGCACATTTTGACTGAATTCCTAGGACTTCTGCATCAGTCTTTGTCGGGTATGGACATCTCTCTCTTGCCCAAGTATCAGTGATAAATTTTCCCCGTTCTCTCTGGGATGCTTGTCCTCATCTATTTTACCTGCCAGGCACTTAACAGGAGGGGCACCTGGTCATTGGCTTACTTTTAGCCAGCTCCATTTTTCTGCTGTGCAGATAATCCCCAAATGGTTTTTCGTGGGAAGCTGGTTACTAACTCAGGTTGGTGTGGGCGTCCTGCTCTGTTTGGGCTTGGCAAAGGGGTCCAATGGATATAATTAGAAACTTCAAGTTTCTTCTTCTCTTTACAAAGGAACTTCTGTTCCTTTTCTTTCATTGCCCAGCTTTGGGTAACACAGCTTCTCTGAATATCAGGAAGCTGGACTTGATATGGCGTAAGCTGTCAGTGGCCCTGATAAACCCAACTGAAATCCTACTGTTATTCTTCAGTTTAGGGGTTGTGTGCCTAGCAAAAATATAATGGGCAGAAAGAAAATATGAATCTATCACTGAATGGTCTTTATTATTATCATTTCTAGGGGAACAAGCTAAACTGATAGGGGGTCATGAATTATGATTAAATTTATAGCAGAAGTGCTAAACCCATATGGGTCATAGTACTTGAGGAATGGGAAAAGTCCATTTCTTTGCATCAAGAGCCCCTCATTGGCATCAAGGAACCTCCCTTAAGGGAAAACAAATTCAGTAAAAATGTGTGATTGATTCTATCTTCGATTTTCCCGTGTTTTTCTTACAAAGCTTTATGAAGTTTAAGGGCCATAGAGCAAGTGCTTGAGAAATGGGAGGTAATTAGGAAGGGAGGATTCTCAAGTTGAACAGGAAGAATTCCCAATTCAACACCTAAAGAGATCTTACAAAATTGAAGGAGGAGGACCATTTTGAGGACAGCAAAATAACAAATAAAAAATGTTTATACCTTAATTAGCGTAATCACCCACTTTTTAACACTTTTACCACATTTAAACGAAAATTACCGGGTTGATTGGTGGAACAGATGAAGCTGAAAGGGGGGGACCGGATCCAGGATTTATGCCTAGGGGCCACCATTTTGGGGATCAAAGTTAAAACCATCAGTTCTTCAATATTACAAATAGTCGAACACATACATAGATGTACCATTCCTTTAAAAAACAAATACACTATTTGATGAACTTGAAACTCCGAATTTTTATTAATTTTGTTTTACATAACTCAAAATGCATCTCAACTTTCATTTGTTAGACTTTAAATTCCTGCTTGTAAAGACATTAACTTCACTTATCAAGTGTTTTGTCTTCCAGTTACAAACAGAGCGGAATCCGCACCTAAGTGCAATTCAGTGGATCCGCATAATGTGCATGATGTACATTGACCTACACTGATGTAGTACCACTTGTCCCAAAAATTTTAATTGTCCTCTGATGCATACTATATTAAACCTATGTATAATAAATATTTTTGAATAAGTTTACTGGATTTATTTAGAGTAATCAACCAATTATAAAACTATAATCAAACTAATCTTTAACAATAAAAGAATTTTGTAAACTATAACACTGCCCAGGTCAAGTGAAAATTTTGATTTGGAATGTTACCTGGAGTTTACTTGGAGAGAGTTCTGGGGGTCAACGCCCCCGCGGCCCGGTCTGTGACCAGGCCTCCTGGTGGATCAGAGCCTGATCAACCAGGCTGTTGCTGCTGGCTGCACGCAAACCAACGTACGAGCCACAGCCCGGCTGGTCAGGAACCGACTTTAGGTGCTTGTTAGGTGAAAACTTTATTATAATTTTGTGTCTAATAAACACAGAGCCTTAACACAACTATTACCCGTGTTCCAGAGCTGACAATATTTAAGTTCGATAAGAGGATTGAAAGTTATAATTTACAAGTGAAAAATATAATTAAATTATCTTAAGGAAAATATGATACACTCAAGTGTCAGTTGTGGGGTAGTTAGAGAAAAAGTCTCAATAAGTTTGGCATAGCTATGGGCACTAGTTGTGTGTGGCCACAAGACAGATGCAAAAAGTAGCTTCTGCTAGCCTCTTGGTTAATTGCAATCTTAGCCAGGCCTTCAGAAGTACGAGGCCATTCAGACATGGGTAACAATGATGGAAATCCTGAGAGGTACATTTCTTGCAAAAAAATAGGAGAAAATAACATTAGAATAAATTAAGGGTTTTAGAATACAAAGGTTAAATATATTTAATACATTATAAGCAAGACTTTTATCTTATATTTTGGGCCACCCTGCCTTGGTGGGATAAGGCTGGTTTGTTGAAAGATTATAAACAAGATGCATTATCTTAATAACATAGGGGTCAGTTTTGTTATAGAGGTACTATGGTCTTGTTTTGGAAAAGTATATTATATATTGGTCTATTACGTGCATAATATGGCTATTTTAATCATGGGAAGTGCTTAACATTTAAAGTTATGCAACATCTAGGGAACAAGAGTCAATTTAGTTGGATCCAAGTACCCAAGGAGAGGCGAGCTCTAATTCCTTGCATTAAAAGCACTTCACCAGTAAGCATTCCCTAGAATGGTACAGCATGTACACTAATAAATACCAATGGGAAAAAAATTATTACAGTGATTAAATAAATTTGCCTTTTAACAAGAAAAACAAGAATGAATGGTTTTTATTAATAAACAAATCTTATACATTTGAACAATTCCATATTCTTCAATCATCCTATTAAATATGGATTTTTTTTTTCTGGAGAAACACAGAGCATAAGATATAAAAATTAATAAGAATAGTGTAGTTGATATCAACATTGGAAACTTCTCTGAGTTGCCATGTCCTCCAGGAGAATTCGAAGTTCCTCATCTTCAAATCGTCCCTCCAAACTGAAACAAAGAAACTTTCACTGATTCTAACTGTTTACAGCATTATGAGAAACTGTAAAGATGGCGAGTCCATAGCAATTCTTTCTTTCTTTCAACACACCGGCCGTATCCCACTGAGGCGGGGTGGCCCAAAAGGAAAAACGAAAGCTTCTCCTTTTACATCTATTAATATATACAGGAGAAGGCGTTACTAGCCCCTTGCTCCCGGCATTTTAGTCACCTCTTACAACATGCATGGCTTACGGAGGAAGAATTCTGTTCCACTTCCCCATGGAGAGAACAGGAAATAAACAAGAACAAGAACTAGTAAGAAAATAGAAGAAAACCCAGAGGGGTATGTACATATGTATATCCTTTTCCATGTATGTGTAGTGTGACCTAAGTGTAAGTAGAAGTAGCAAGACGTACCTGAAATCTTGCATGTTTACGAGACAGAAAAATGGACACCAGCAATCCTACCATCATATAAAACAATTACAGGCTTCCGTTTTACTCACTTGGCAGGACGGTAGTACCTCCCTGGGCGGTTGCTGTCTACCAACCTACTACCTAGTCCATAGCAATTATGAGACTAATTTCTCTTCATTCAATATCATCTAATCATCGAAAACATCAAAGATTTTTCCCCTTGTCAATTCTATGATTCACCTCATCTTTCGTAGACCCGTCTGCTGACACGTCCACTCTTAAATATCTGAATACATTCACCTCCATATTCTCTCCCTCCAATCTGATATCCAATCTTTCATTACCCAATTTTTTTTTGTTATCCTCATCACCTTGCTCTTTCCTATATTCACTTATAATTTACTTCTTTTACATATCACCACTCTCTTAACCTCTCTTTTTCAATCCATATACCCCTCCCTCCTGGCATCACTTCTACTTTGTAAAAACTGCTCATCTTTCTTTTCTTTCTTTCAACAAACCGGCCGTATCCCACCGAGGCAGGGTGGCCCTAAAGGAAAAACGAAAGTTTCTCCTTTTACACTTAGTAATATGTACAGGAGAAGAGGTTACTAGCCCCTTGCTCCCGGCATTTTAGTCGCCTCTTACAACACGCATGGCTTACGGAGGAAGAATTCTGTTCCACTCCCCCATGGAGATAAGAGGAAATAAGCAAGAATAAGAACTAGAAAGAAAATAGAAGAAAACCCAGAGGGGTGTGTATATATGTGCTTGTACATGTATGTGTAGTGTGACCTAAGTGTAAGTAGAAGTAGCAAAACGTACCTGAAATCTTGCATGTTTATGAGACAGAAAAAAGGACACCAGCAATCCTACCATCACGTAAAACAATTACAGGCTTTCGTTTCACACTCATTTGGTAGGATGGTAGTGCCCCCCTGGGTGGTTGCTGTCTACCAACCTTCTACCTACAAAAAACCGCTCATATGCTAACTTTTTCTCCCTTACCACCCTCTTTACATCATTCCACCAATCGCTCTTCCCTACCAAACCCACTTTCCTGTAACCACAAACTTCTGCTGAACACTAACACTACTTTTTAAACCTACCCTAAACATCTTTGACCCCATTGCCTATAATCTCACTAGCCCATCTATCCTCTAACAGTTGTTAATATCTTACCCTAACTGCCTCCTCCTCTAGTTTACAAACCTTCACCTCTCTCTTACTAGCTGCTTCTATTTTCCTTGAATCCCATCTACCTTTTACTTTCACTGTAGCTGTAACTAAAAAGTGATCTAATATATCTGTGGCCCCTCTATAAACATGTACATCCTGAAGTCTACCCAACAGATGTATAAATAAAACATTGTAGAAAGTTTGACTGTACTCAAAGAGGCAGCAGTATTAAGTGTCTATATGGGTAGGGGATGTGTAGATCAAATGTTTACATTGAAGCATATATGTGAACAGTATTTAGATAAAGGTAGGGAAGTTTTTATTGCATTTATGGATTGAGAAGAGTATATGGAGAAAAAGAGAGAGGTTAAGAGAGTGGTGAAGCAATGTAAAAAGAGAGCAAATGAGAGAGTGGGTGAGATGTTATCAACAAATTTTGTTGAAAATAAGAAAAAGTTTTGGAGTGAGATTAACAAGTTAAGGAAGCCTAGAGAACAAATGAATTTGTCATTTAAAAATAGGAGAGGAGAGTTATTAAATGGAGAGTTAGAGGTATTGGGAAGATGGAGGGAATATTTTGAGGAATTGTTAAATGTTGATGAAGATAGGGAAGCTGTGATTTCGTGTATAGGGCAAGGAGGAATAACATCTTGTAGGAGTGAGGAAGAGTCAGTTGTGAGTGTGGGGGAAGTTCGCGAGGCAGTAGGTAAAATGAAAGGGGGTAAGGCAGCCGGGATTGATGGGATAAAGATAGAAATGTTAAAAGCAGGTGGGGATATAGTTTTGGAGTGGTTGGTGCAATTATTTAATAAATGTATGGAAGAGGGTAAGGTACCTAGGGATTGGCAGAGAGCATGCATAGTTCCTTTGTATAAAGGCAAAGGGGACAGAAGAGAGTGCAAAAATTATAGGGGGATAAGTCTGTTGAGTATACCTGGTAAAGTGTATGGGCTTTAGGAAAGGTAGGGGGTGTGGGACCAGGTGTTTACAGTGAAACATATAAGTGAACAGTATTTAGATAAGGCTAAAGAGGTCTTTGTGGCATTTATGGATTTGGAAAAGGCATATGACAGGGTGGATAGGGGGGGCAATGTGGCAGATGTTGCAGGTGTATGGTATAGGAGGTAGGTTACTGAAAGCAGTGAAGAGTTTTTACGAGGATAGTGAGGCTCAAGTTAGAGTATGTAGGAAAAAGGGAAATTATTTCCCAGTAAAAGTAGGCCTTAGACAAGGATGTGTGATGCCACAGTGGTTGTTTAATATATTTCCAGATGGGGTTGTAAGAGAAGTAAATGCAAGGGTCTTGGCAAGAGGCGTGGAGTTAAAAGATAAAGAATCACACATAAAGTGGAAGTTGTCACAGTTG